ATTTGAAGCCAAGTTTCCCAAACACAGAATAATGTTAGGTTTACTGTTTTATATTTTGTTATAGTCATTTTCATAATATCCCTTGTAAGGACTATAAAAGAGGACTTGATGTAATGTTTTGAATGGATATAATTTAGATATTTTCCTTCACAGAAAGACATGAAAATTTTGCATGTTGATGCTCTTTTATTTTGCTGTCTTTTCTTCTCTCACAAAATATATTAATACATTCAACTACTCCTCAAGTTGCAATTTTTATTTTACTGTTTGACTGTCTTCCCTTTTAAAGTTACATCTCTTTTAAAGATTCAAATTTTTACTTCAACTGAAGGAAATGTGCTCCACTCAAGTCCAAACTAAATATGTGCTATTCTTAGCTTCCTACTTTTCTTTTTCTTCTGAATAATTTCTGACGGATACAAAGTACAGAACCACAGTAGATCAATGCTGCAAGTAACATTCAAGTTTAGTTTCATCCAGAACTTTCATTTTATATGTGAGAGAAATGAGATTCTTATTGCTTAAGTGACCTGTCCAAAAATACATGTCTAGTAGATAATAGTTCTAATCCAATTTGTCTTCTGTCTGCCAAAACCAGGACTCTTCTACTATATCTAACTGCCTGTACACTGTTAATATTGATACTTTTAAGCAGTACAACCCATGAACTTCTATGATAGTGTGTGAATATACATGTATCTTTTGCAGAAAATCTTTAAGAGCCAGGATCAGGTGACCATGTGTGGGCAGTCCCAGGGAACACTGGAGTTGGCCAGATCTTCCCAACCCAGGCTGTCAAGTGCCAAGGCTTGAGTTTGTCTCTCTCTCTCTCTCTCTCTCTCTCTCTCTCTCTCTCTCTCTCACACACACATACACACACACACACACACACACACACACACACACCAGCCCTCATGACCACTTATGTGCCTGGCAGACAAAGGCTGGCCAGCCCAGGCCATAGGATCCTCTGAGGGAGGTAAGACTGACACACTGAACCCACTCACATCAAAAAATTCACAAACATCCATAGCTTGGCAAGCTCATAAACTGCTGTGAGAAATTTAATTCATTTTTTAACATTTTTTGGAGGCCAATTTGACAATACTAAGAGACCTGAAAGTGTACTGTCATTGACAGAGCAATTGTACTTCTAAGAATTTATTTTAAGGAAATCATCTCTAAGGAGAAAGAAAAGTGTATCCAAGTATATACTCAAGCCAAGAAATCAAGAAATGGCTGTAAACAAGCCATTCTCTAATTCATTTAATAAATGCAAGTTTCATTTTTATGAGAAAAATCACAATACCTCTGAGAATGTGAGCAGTGTTTAGATTTCCCGGTAAGACATATGAA